CTGTTTGTCATCGAATATTTATGGCCACTTAAAAGTATGCAATGAAAATTCGGAATTTATAGTTCCTTTGCTCAAAAATGGCAATTGAAACCGCAATACAAGGCGAATTTATAGGTTAAAAAATAAAAAATTGGTGGCTTTTATTCGAGCGATTAATCAGTCATTTAAAAAGCCCCATCAATTTGTCCTGGTGGCTGTGTATCATCGCAGATCCCATCTTCATCGGTGTCTTTTCCCCGAATTCAACGTCATGACTCAGCCACCTTCACAAAAAAGTCATTGGCCAGGCGGTTTTATTTTTTGTATTTCCCTGGCCGTTAAATAAAACCCAAATTATTATTGAAAAGATGCGATAGACAGGCGGGCGTCAATTTCAGAGGGACAAAAGAAATACCGGCAAACATCGAAACCATTTTAATGAAATGAGATGGCAGGGGAATGGGATACCTTTTCTCTGTCCGAATTCAAACGATTCTCGTACCGAAATCGAATTCTAATAAGATTATGAGCGTTTTCATTGAGAGGATTTTAGCTACCTGTGAGCCAAAGTATTCAGGTAGTCGGCCGAGGAATGTGAATTGGTATGCCAGCTGATGGAATAGAGTGCCAAAGGAGTTAAGCAGAAGTTAAAGTCAAGGCTGAAACTACATATATGGGAATCCAGTTTATTGTGGTTTAAACTCAGCGAACCGTGAAGGGAACTTTAAGATAATATAAATACTGCTTTAGTTCAACGTATTATAGTTTAAGTTAAGTACCAAACAACTAACAAAAATAAGTTATTCATTCTGACGATATTAAAACATAAGGTATCGTAGAAAAATACGCGTCCATTTAAGTTACTCTAATACAAATAGTAAACATTTTTTAAAAAGAAATCTTTTAATTATCAAACATAAGCCTCATTTGCACAGTTTTTAAGTAGTTAGTTAGTAGTCCAAAACAGTTTTTACATGTATCTCAATTTTATATAAAAGGTATCTAGATATTATATTTAAGTTGATCTTCGGAGTTCAGCGACCGCTTATTTAATTTTTTTAAATGTTCCCTCATCTTAAATGCTCCACTATTTAATCTGTTCTCGTCACAACTCGCAATCAAAAGGCGAGCTCCAAGTTGATGACCAATAAAGTTGTCAACGCCGATAAAGTTATTAACATCGCTTAGATTAATTAATTTAATTTTCGTTGACCAATTTACACAGCTAATTAAAAGTGGCCGAACCCCCGATGCGACGGTCTCTTTCAAGTTGTTAGAAGGGAATGCGTGTTTTCGGAATGACTTAATGGGGAATTAAAATGGGAATGGGAATGGAATTGAAATTGGGAATGCGACCCCGGCTATTAGTTTCTATTACAAGCGCCGCACGTTGACTAATTGCCCGTGGTCAGTGCCTGGAAACGAGCGATCTGCGGAAACTGATTTACAAGTGCGCTCAGAGAAAAATGCACAATCGCCACCGCAACAATAGCCACATAAATTAATATAAATGGAGTGGTACTTTATGCACACTTCGACGTTTTATCAGTGATTTATGGTTGACTGTTTTGAAAACAAGCCATCAGCCAAGCGAGATGTAATCCGCAATCGGAAAAATATGCAAACTGCCTATGAAATGTTTATAAAATGGAATGATAGTGAACAAGAATTACTCTGCAGTAATGAAGAAATTAATTTATAGTTGATTTGAAATGTTTAATTTAATTGAACAATAATAATGTTGTTAAAGAAAACTGTATTTTATCTGAATAACATTATCACTTTCATTGGTAAAATCAAACTATTCATCTATAAAAAGAGTATTTCTTGCATCATTTGCAGCACATCATGAATCGTCAGTTAGTAATCAGTTTGCAGTTTGCTCCTCCACATTTCTCTTGCCATCTTATCACTTCGGTAGTGGAGCTTATCGGAAGACCAGTCAGCTGAATTACAAACAGACAGACACAACTAAATCAGAAAGAAAAAAACAAAAAAGAAGTGACATCAGTAATCGGCATCCAGCAACCAGCATGTTGAATCCATCTGGTTTTCTTCTACAGCTGATAAGAGCGAAAGGCGAGTTGAGGAAATGTCACTTTTGCATTGTTTTATGCAGTGCATACAAAACATATGACAAATCTTCACAAACCCATACAATTGAATAAAATGTGATGGAAAAAAGAGGAAAAAGAGCGCAACACAAAGTCCGAACGCGCCTTTTCCTGCCCTGCCAAAGTTTGCGATAAAAAGGGGAAAAAAGTTCTCGAATGCGTCGAATGCATACTAAAGATATGGCCAAGCCGATATGCATAGAGAAGTATCGGGCAAAGCTCCCAGGAGAAAGGGGGACGGAAGTCCGCATAGAAAGAGAGGCAAACAAAGCCGAGGAGGAACAGAAGAAACTTTAGTCTTAAATGGCGACTAGACGAAACGGCGTCGCCGGCATTTTGATAAACCATTGAAAATGTTAGAACAAAAAAATCATTAAAACGAAGCTTTTTCCAATACGGAACGGAAATGCGGCACAGAACCAGAAAAGCAAAAACCCAAGACCGAATGCCGCCTTCTATGGCGGAGTAGAAGCTATAGAAAGCCGGAGAAACATTTGAATGATTATAAAAAGACACCACAAATGGCACACTTAGGGGTCTATTAAATGTGTGTATATATTCCGATTAGATAAGCATGGGACTGCAAAGAAGCCAGTTGAGTTTATAAGACCTCCCCAGTGATTAAATTAGTGAATGATGAATGGTAAACAACATATAGCACAAACAGATTACTTACCTTATTTGTATTTATAGGACTGACAGATCTAATGAATCACCTAAGAGATATTTATTATAAAGTTCGGGGAGCAAACTTCTAACATGAAGATATAACTTAATTGCCCCCTCCATTTACCTCTGTTCTTTTAATCCTACAAAGATAAGATATGATAGACACAAAAGTCCCTGAAAGAATTTCCACATATACGTTTTAGAAGAACTTTTGTCTCTCATTCCCCCGATCATATTTCTCAAGCCACCAATCATGATCCGATAATCACAACAAATTACACGAAAGGCAGACAGGGGAGCATTGGAAACACACAGTCAATAAAGTTATCAAACCACTTGTGACGGTCGCCAGACACAAAATCAAAAATAAAATCCATTTCAAATGCGACCGAACAACATGTCAAATTCTCAGAATCCCCCAAAAAACCATAAAACATAAAAACATAAGAAGCGATCCGCGAGACACGACAAATTTTCATCGCATTTATATCCGAAATTAAAAAATTATGCCTGGCGCCAGACCGAAGAACCCCACCCAACAAAAAAAGATTTGGAGTCCCATGAATGGCGTGTCGATTTGGTAATTGAAAACTAAAACTGAAGAGTAGCCAAAAACTTATAGAGGGCCTCCATAGATCTTTCTGAAATGGCACGTTTCGTCTTCGAGTTTGGCGCAAACTAAAGACAGATAGCGATTTGCCGGTGATTTGCATAATTGCGTGATTCGCATTCCAAAAAAAATACACACACATGTGTGTCAGTGTGTGAAATCCGTTAATATGAATCATCTTTTTGGTGGGGAGATGGAACCCCAGACAACTCTTAGACCCGATGAGTCCACATCTAGACTCATCTTATGGTAATTTCTCCTCAATGATACAATGAGTCAAGTGCCATTCGCTTTCGCCTTCATTTTCGAGTGTTCGATTATTTTTTTCAAGAAAAAAAAAAAATTAACGCAGTTCATACGATTCTCTACAGATTTTGGGACATTGAACTGGGCCAGCATGCAACAATTTGTGGTTCGTTTGCGGAGAGACAGTAAGCCTATAAATCCCCAGTACAAAGCCAAGGGAACAACCTGTTTTCCACAGCCACCGACGCAAGGGAATCAAAGGGGAATTAATCTTTTCAATCCCTAAGAAAAAACAATTTAAAACAAAAAAACTAAAGAATTATATGCAACGTAGGAAAAATATTTATATTTGTTAATCTGATCGTCATATTTGTGGTTTAACTCTTTAGACTTTATCTACCATATTCGCATACATCACGTCAATAATATTTTATTCCTCTTATGTGAAGGAATTTCTTGGCTGTTGGATTGTGTTCGATATGAGGTTGCAAGTCAGTTTGTTTTGGGAAATAAATATAAGTTCCCAAGTCAACACTATTATGACCATTATTCTAAAAGTAATCGTATTCAATTCAATAAATTAAGTTGTAAATTTGTTTTGCTCATTTAGAACAAATAGAATAAAACACCTTTTAAAAAAAAACTGTAGTGATTACACATATCACATTTCTTAAAATTAGTCATGTTGTATAAAATGTTTTATAAACTTTCAAGTTTAGCCTCTATTAAAAGAGATTACGTTAAGAATTTCCAGGTAACTTACGATGAGTTTTTAATAATTTTTGGGAATTGCACTGGTGAGTAAACGACCAAATCAAAACACTGGGAAATTTTTAAGCAACTCGAACCTCTCATAGTGGGACAAAATCTACAGTAAGTAAGCAAACAAAAAAACTATTGAAATGTATTTATTATCCAACCGGAAATAAATACTTTAGTTATTTTTAAAATAATAATAATAAAACGCGAGGTACTCATACTTTAAGTTAAAAAAAATGTTTATTAGTTCGTTGCGTTTTTATTTTTCAGGAAAGCAATGTTTTATTTATGTTCATTTATTTTCCTCCCAATAATATTTTTAAATATGTATGCAAACAATTAATCAATATACCGATAAAAAGTATAATTTATTATTTATTCGAAATTAATTGGAATACAATTTCATTTGTTTTTTCTGGTAAAGCGGATAAAAACACACATGCTAAGGTCTGTGTTCTAGTTTCAGAACACTCTTTTGCTTATTCTGAATTCAATTTGAAAAAAAAATAAAATAAAATACTTAAATACCACTGTGCGCCTTTCGAACATGTTCGAAGCGACACCCGCATGCCGATGCACGGAACTCGAGGGAAAACCAGTTTTCTTTGCGGCAGTCAGTCATCAACGGGCAGCTCGCGTGGACAGTTCGCCTTCGCAATTCGGTCGCTCGTTTGCTTTGCGCGACCAAGTCAATTTGAAAACAAAATTTTGGCCAAACAAAATTGGTTTTTTCAATTAGCCAAACCACGACCACTCGAGAAACCGCAAAGAAATGCGACGCGACGCGCTGCCAACTAATTCAATCTAAATCAGTAGAAGTATGTGCAACAAAGCAAGAAACCAATTACCATCGAAATCAAAATCAAGAATTAATATGTCAGCGGAAATATCAAAACAAACGTGTTTGGCATTGCATATGCGAAAGCAACGCGCCAAGAAAATATAAATATAAATAATATGCCCGACCAACGTCAGCAAACAAAACTGATCGGGCCAATAAACAGCTTGAAAAGTGCTCGAGTATCGGTGCGAATGCCAAAAGATACATTTGTATCTTTCGGATTGCACTTTGCAGTTACCCCCCACCCCATCGAAATTCACCCAGCCCATCCACGCAGTGTTTATTGTGCGAAAGTAAAAACTACCTGCAACAGACTTTTGAGACCTGCCCAGACCGAAAAACCCGAAAAAGAAAACCAGTTTTGTGAAAATTATTGACTGCGCTCTTGTTGCTCTTGTTGGTTTTAGTTTAGTTTTTATTTCTCGTTAGGCTTCATTTTTTTTGCGCTATTTCTTGGCTGCACTCCTCTGCGGATTGCTGAAAGGAAAATGGCAATAATAACAAGCCGAAATTGGCGGCTGCCAGCGGACAGATAGAGCAGTCATAAATTAAGTGAGCGGAATGGATAGCCGTGATAAGAAATGCAATTGAGGGAGACATAAATAACAAAAGGTGTCAAGGGGTTCTAGCTGAAAAACTGAGCTCTGAACTGAGGTGGCTTAAAAAGGTTTATGCTGTTAGGGCAAAATCCGTTAGATAAACGTTCAGATTTTCCACTAAAGTTAGCATAATCACTCTATAAAAAATTATCTAAATAGCCTTGGAAGCATATATCACTTAAAAATAACATTTACTTTTGCATTTACAACTTTGCTGATTAGTACACAAGTCAATAAACTCAAGTGATTATTGCAAGCAATAAAATATATCCGAGAAGCTTTCAAACTAAACCAACACAATGATTCATAAAAACAAATGGAAACCCGCAACCCACTTAAATTTTTAAAACCCTAAACAAAACGCAATGAACTCTTTATTTATTTATGAAAAGTTCCCTGTTCTCAAACCAAAACCTAATGGAAACCTCCCTTCGATTTTCTACCCACAGTCAACTCGATAAGTGCAACATTCCCCTCGTAAATAATTAAAAAAGCGTTGCAGTTAAGTTACCGCTTTAAACAACGATCCAACTTAAAAACAAAAGGAAAACCTTCCACCTAGGCTAAGAAATAAAATAAAATAAAAAACCGGAAAATGCTCATGCACACCACATCAATTTCCACAACATCGACGGCCACCATGACCAACTCATCGTCCTCGGCCACGCCCACACCCGGATCGACCTCCTCCAACAACAGTGCCACGCTCGAGACGCTCCACCACCAGCAGCAGCAGCAGCAACAGCAGCTGCAACAGCAATTGCAGCAGTTGCACACGAACGCGGCGAACAATTCGCGTCCCCCCCTCGCGAGCTCCCTCCATTCTGGACAGTCCGACGCTGGCGCGCGTGGAGCGGGCTCGTCTGCGGCTGGAGCAGCAGGAGCGGGAGCGGGAACGGGAGCGCAGCAGCCAGCGGGAGGGGGGCGGTAATGGCAATGGCAACGGCAGTGGGAGCGGGGGAGGGGGCGGCAGCAGCACCGGCACCGGCAGCACCGCCACAACCATGAATCGTGAGGACAGCCTGGAGCGCAGCATTTTGGATCCCAAGGTGAGCGTCCAGCACACTCTGCACACTGAAAATAAAATTAAAGCCCTAAACATATTTTTTAAATCACATAGTCAGTTTATAACTCTGATTCAGGGTTAAAGTGATATCCCAAATTTTTTATATGTTGTTATTGCATATACATTTAAATTCAAAATATTTAAAACTGATTGTCACACAATGAAATATATAACCATTATCTCATTCATTACACATAATTTTTAAATTTTAAATAATTTTTTTATTATAAATTCAATATGAAAGTATTTGTTGTGTGATATTGAAGTTTTAAATTATCCCTGTAATGATATCTACCAACAATTTATGACTTTTTTATAATTTTGTATAGTTGACTACTTTTTCCTTTGCGATATAACGCAAATGTTTTGTAATAGTAACTTTTCAAGATCAAGAAGGTCGAAAAAATAAAAATTATTTTTTAGGGAACAAAAAACCTAAAATAATTTTTTCTCAGTGTACTGGTCCACATACTCGTAGAATATAAATTACAATTAAGAGGGACGCGGTGGGGGGATCGAGAAGAGCCTACGTGATAATGAAGGCCCAAGTACGAGACTTCACTATCGCCACGATCCATCTGAAAGCATCTCGGCAATCTCGTTCGAAACATATATTTTTATCTCTTAATTTATTGAAATTTTTCGTCAAATAATTCTCGAATACCTTGAGAGCTTGATAAATGGTTAAGGAGGGTCTTCATTCGGGCCGTAGAAATTTTTTAAATGTTCTGGGATCCACCTTTTAAAGAGCTTACATCATACAAAACCGAAATCTTTTAAATGGCCAAGAAGAAATTTAATTTAAACTGCAGAAATTCTTTAAATGACACGTTTTTAAAGTTTACATCATTAAAAAGCCTCTTAAATTCAATCGTTAGACCAAATGTAAATTATTTTAGATCAACAAAAAACGAAAAAAAAGATAATCTTCTAGTTTCTCTATTGGCTAGGATATATAATATTCGGCTATTTATATTTAGCCTTTTAACAAATTAAAGTTCCAGCCTCGTTTTCTTTTTTGTACACTTTTCTTAAGCGTATTTATATATTTAAACATCAGCAGGACTTTTTAAAGCCCAACCAAATCCTTGTGAATGTAAATCCAAGTGCTACCATTAGTGTTTTTCTAGACATCCGATATCCTCCATTCCCATAAAGCTCTTATTAGATTTGGTCCATAACCAAAACGAATGCCTTCTTGATGCTGCAAATTAGTGGCTACCTTCTACTAAAACCGAATGGAGCGCGCTGAAAGAGGAAAAGGCAAATAGAACAGACGTTCGGTGGACGGAGTGCAAGAAGGCCTAAACCAAATAAGCCATATACACATTTTTTTGCTGGCGAGGCCGCAGTTCTTGACAGGGCCATTTCACTAATGGCCCAAGTCCGCTCCTTTGGGCTGTAGGTGACTGACTGGCCATCTTTCCTGCGGGGCGGAGAAACTCCACTCGGCTGTCCGAACACGACCTTCTGGCTATATGTAAATGCTTTTTATTTTGTTATTATTTTGTTAACGCTCTTATCGCTGGCGGTTTTTATCTTGACTGGGGTCTCATCATCTGGCAAAAGCCTCTTTAGGCTCTGCTCATTTTTATTTCTTTAAAGCTTACTGCTTTCCTGGGTATCTTTGCATACATGGAAATGGAAACGGAGTTGGGTTGCTTGGCCCCTGCTGCCTGTCCAGGTAGCTTAGAACCTGGTTCTCAGGTAGCCGGCCTCTGTTCATGGTTGAAAACATAAACTGAGATAATGAATTGCGAAATACATATATATCTATTAGCCAGACAATAACAGTGTTACGCTGGCAGATAGCAAAAGAGCTAACACGAAATGTAGATACGATTTTAGTGAGTTCTTATCTATGATGTGTAGTGGAGGTCTTTACCTGAGAATGAATGGAAATGGATAAAGAGATAGTATCTGTGAAATACTTATATTCGATCACATTTAGTGCTTCGATTATCTTGAGTAACTTCCTGCGAGTTCGGGCCAAGTTCTGCTTTTAGCTCTTATGTCACATCATCAATTCTGTTTGGCCCTTAGCCAGCAGCCCTCACAAGCCAAGTCAAGACTGATTACCTGATTCAGTCAGGGCTTTTACCTCCCTCCATCCAAGCCGCCCTCTTGTCATCTGGTAACAAATTGTACGTAAGAGTTTTCGGGCCAAATTGCCTGCATAATTTCAGCAGGGCCTCCCCTTTTTTCCCTCCTGGGAAACTGCAGTCAAAATATTTGCGCAACTTTCTTTGGTTGTGGCATTCCTTTTTCTTTTCTGTACTCCTTCAATAGCTGGCGCCTTTTGGTCTCCTAAATCTTGCAGGATTTGACTCACGAAATCGATACAAGTTGCGCAAGAGGCCTGAAAAACGATTTGGGGTCAGCCCCTTTTTTTTTTCTTTACAAGGGTTAAGCCCCTTAGATCGTTGAACTCGCGACAAGAAAATAACACCTCAAGTGTCCGACTGCCGAGTCATAATTAGTCACACTTAAAAAGGCATTGGCCCAAAGACAACGCGGCCCGTTAGTTGGCCATGCGAAATATGAGCAAAAGTGAGGCAGACAAAACCCGGTAACTGGTAACTGGAAACTGAAAACTGAAAACTGAAAACCAGCAAATACAAGAGGAGCCTTAAAAACAACAGCCAGAAAGCCAGAAAGCCAGCAAAAGCTTTGCTACGTGCGCCGCACTCTGTGAGATATATGTTTGACCCACAGCGGTATAGACCATGTCCATCTTGCACCGGCTCGTTGCACTCGGCTGCAGTTGCAGAAGGGCCAAATCTCTTTGCTCATCTGGAGCAGAAAGGTGGTTCCAGTGAAAAGAGCCCGAGAGGAGAAATCACAACCCGGGCGGAAGACTCTTTCAATTTTTTCCAGCTTGGCAATTTTATTTTTCATAACGACCCAACGATGGTTTGGACCCACGTAAACAATTTCAATAAATTGTACATTCAATGTCAATTTATTTTGCTGCTCTTTTGGCGCGCAATTCAATTTAACGGCACACATTCCACGCGAATATGTGAGAATGCTGTGTTGGGCACAGTGTTTTCGCAAACAAATTACAAAAAATCTAGCAAAAAAATAGAATGATAAATGAAAAGTACATGGTTTTGTGTTTTACATGCCTGAATGCGCAGAGAGGCCTTAGAAATGGTCAGTAAACGCGAGAGTTTCGGTGTTGAATGGTTTGATGTGTCGGCTCGAGTTTCGGACCTTGGATGATTCAGTTTTCGTAATATAGAGGAAAAAGTGGGTGCAGAGAAAGATCTTTATTCGAAATGAGAAGGGTAAGATTTAAGGGGGCACAGTTTTTATAGGATCGGTCAAATGGTGAAGTATTAAAATGTGACTCATAAAGTAGCAGTAACCAGAAATGATATAATCAATTGAATGATCATTGACTGATTCATCAATTAATTTCAATGCTTATTTACGTAAATATTATATCAATAAAGAGGTATTCCTACAACTCCTTTCACTGACCTTCTCAAAAAGTACCAAACATGCGTAAGCACTTCCAATCTTCACAAAAAAAAAGATCTAACCCTTTCCTTCAATTAGCCAACCATAAATTCGTCCAAAAATAGAAACAGCCCACAAACTCGCTTCGTGAAAGGGGAGACTGTAGTAGAAGAACAACAATAACAGTAGACCTAGTAACCGCCGAAAGGTAAATAAATAGAAAACAGAATTTCCGTGGGGTTAAGCCAAACTGCAGCCGGGTAATTTGAGTCGTTTGGCCATTTGCTCGTTGGAATTGCCTTCATACACGCAAGACCCGAAAATCGTTGAATAAATCGTGAGACAAGTGAGCGACGCATACACACATATATATTTTACTCTTATCGCTCAAGAAAATAGAGCAAAACCCCTCCGAACAAAACAAAAAAACCCCTCGGATAAACTAAAAGTAAACTAAACAACTGAATTTTTGGGGGGACCAAAACGACTGAGAAAGAGCTGAAAAGACACAAAAGCGTTGCAAAGACGACACGCAAGAAATGCGTAAAAATAAAAATGAGACGAAAAATAATACAGAGAAAATCATTTCATTCAACCCCACCCAACCACACACCCAAAGCACCACCTCCTCTGCCCCCTTGGCTCCACAACTGACAACCCCTCGATTTTTTCATTCATAAAGGCGAAAAAGAGAAGAAAACTTTAGCGGAAAATATGCTTCACAATAAAATATACAAATAAATGGCCGGGCTTAATGCAAATAAAAGGGGGATGGGCGTTTTGGGGCAGAGGAGGCTGTGTAGCTTTGATAGGCTCTTCGAAATGGGTGGAAGGGGGGGCGGTTGGGTGGCGGGGTGGTGTAGTGGGTGGTGGGGCAGCTGCTGCCAGCTACGCGAGGGAATTTTCCAGTCAAGGCAGAAAAACCAAATGGCACACAGAAGTGCAATTTTCGCCAGCGAATTGGGGTAAAAGGGGAGCAAATCACAAATGCAAAAAGGAAATGCCAATGGAAAAATGTTTTCCTTCAGCGGATTTTCTGGGGGAGCGGGGGAAAGGGCCCTGCCTTAAAGCTAATTTTTGGGTTAAATTTTTTTTGTCTGAGCAATTGCATTTAATATTTTGTGGCTTCTGCTTTCATTGGATCTGTCGGAACGTTTTGAAGTTGCGTTCTTGTTTTTTGTTTTACATATCTCAATTTGGTTTTCCCCCTCCGATTGTGTAAAGTGATATATCACAATTAAGCTGCTGCACAGTGACCCACTAAATTCAACAGCAGAAAAAAACACACTGAACAAAAAAAAACAATATTTGTAAATGTTTTTATTCGTACAATGAATAAATAAATAAAAACTTTTATAAATTTCATTAAGTTCATAAAAAGTTGACGTTTGCTCTTTTTCATAAATGTTATTTAAATTAAATTCAAAAACTTCTGTAAACTTTTTTCTTTAGTTTACAACAGCTGCAATATTTATTCTCCTTTTGTCTTAATGCATTTTGATAGATTGCATTAAGTGCGTGGAGATGGCATAATGTAGAGCAACTTTTAAATTGATTCTGTTTGTGGACAGAAAGGGGTATTGTGGGTGGGATCAAAAAAGAGAGTGTGAAAGGGCTGACCTCGGCCGAAGATCAGAAAAATTTGTTAAGCAGCAAATGGTTCAATTTGTTGCGGGCTAACAACATAACACTTTATTTCACATACGGAAAAAGCATTAAAAAACATATGGTAGACTTATATTCTTTCTTTAAGGCTGGCACTTTCCTTTTCATAAATAAATTTTATAGTAAACAAAGAAAACTGTTTACATGAATTATGATAACTAAAAATAAATACTGTTTTCCAATGAGTTTATTTAAACTTAGGTATTTGCTTTTTTAATTTTCTTTTTTCTACAATGATATAAGAGGGCAATTTAAAAAGTTGGTTAACATCTTTTTAATTATAAAATACAAAAGAAAATAGTTTGAGACCTTGGAGAAAATGTGACATACTTTAGCAGATTGCATTGACGTAGCTTCAAGGTTCACCAATTTGTAGAGCGCATAAATTTCCGTGTTTTTCTTCCATTACGATGAGTTAGAACTGCATTTTCAGCTGAGTTTCCCAGATCATCTGACAGGCATTTCCATGGTCGAAGGCTTCTGGCATCCCGCTTTTCCAGCTTCCTCATTTTCGCGACGACAGCAATCTGCGAGAAGGAGAAAAGTTTCTTAGGAAATCCACGGAGACAATGGCGACTGCATACAATTTGCATATTACATCAACATGTTGCATGCCGGCACAGTCAAGATTGCAGTTTGTTGCTGCGAAATGTTGCATATGCAATTGAGTTAAGCGCCCTCAGCCCTCCCCCTTGCCACGCCCCCTTAAGTTAAACGAGGCGAGGCAACGAGATGCATCCGAAGACGATGATGATGAAGTTGATGGCGATGTGGAAGACACAGCCGCATTGCAATCAGTTTTTTGCTTTTGTTTTCGCTACGATTTCTGTGGCAAGTCGAATGCGTGAGTCGGGCAGGCATTTGTTTCCCAAGTTTCTGCAACTTTGTGGGGGGTTCCACATGCACTTGCCTCACTTAAAGCCTGTCTTCGCATTAAATATTCGCAAAACATCGCTGAAATATGCAACATCTACTTAGGCCGCCGGCCGACACGCCCCCATCGCCCATTTGGAACAAGAAAAATTATCCATTGCTCATTGTGTATAATTTCTTTATAATTGCCATTTCCCGTTTTAATGAATTGTTTATACTATAAAGAGAGAAACACACAGAGAGAACTGCAATAAAGACAGGGGTCATGGCAACAGCAACAATGCAAACAACAGTCGCACTATACCATACATGTGCCCCCGAATGGGGCAACCTAAAACGGAGACCCAAACCCAATCACACATACGAACACACGCAGTTACACTAAGAAAAATCTGTAGCTATATTAGTAGAATTAAATTCAATTTTTATTTGGGTTTTCAGGCAGGAATATTATAAATTTAATTTTGTAAATTTAATGAATTCTTGAATTCTCATTTAAATTAATTCTTGTTCAACAAATTATTTCGAAGCATTTTATTTATAAATGCAGTTTACAAAATATAACCGTTAAATTGTCTTACAAATAATATATATTTAATGGTTTATGTTTATAAAATAAAATACTTTTTTTTCCAAAAAATGTTGTATAGACAAATACATTTTGTTTGAAGCTTTCGAATTTCAATACAACAATAAATATTATATTTAAGTAAAAATATGGCAATTCTGTTTTCTCTGCATGTTTTTTTTTCGGTTTATCCACAAATTCAAACTGAGGGGCTATCGTGGGCTGACCATTTTCATTGCTTCCGTTCTCCACTTGTTATGGTTGCTGTTGCACTTTACTCTTTTTTTTGGGGGTTGTTGCAGCAACTGTTTGCATGACAAACGGAAATTGTTTTCATTTGATTAGTGCGAGCTGCGTGGAAGGTGTGTGTGTGTGTAGATTGTGTGTGGTACATAAGGGGGTTTCATTTGAAAAGAAGGGTTTGTTGGATACTCGGCAAGCGACCCCCTAACCATAACCGCATTTTTCAACAAGGGCACGAACTCTTAATGCATTGGGACCTCCAGCGCAAATTGCGTTGATCAAGATAATGACCATGATGATGATGATGGTGTGGAGGAAGGTGTGTTGTCCAGCCTAGACTTTGTTTTTTACGAGCTTTTAATGGCATAATAGGACCAAGGAGTGCTGCACTCACACATCATTAAGTTAAGTCGTGTGGGGCGGTATTTTATGGCTGTTTGTGGATAACAGTCATTCATCATCGGTAGTTACCGTCTAGTCACCTATATAATGTAGAAAAGTTTTACTGGACAAGTAAGAACCAAAAACGAATGCATTTGTTATATATTTCAAAGGAAATTATTGTTTTAAATATATATTTTTATCAAAAAATCTAAGAAATGATTGTTCCTTTAAAATATCTTAAAGTTTCCAAAGAAACTCTATTTGTATTTTATATACACCATCATCTTAGTGACTCATTTAAATGGATCGATTACTTCAACCCTATTAATAGTTCACCTACCTCAACAACTGTGCTCATAAAGTTTCTTAGGAATTTTATTTCTCTCTTGGAGCAAATTAGTCAACCGTATCACAGAAAATAGCTATATTAATTTCGAAAGCTTATCAAACGATGTCGTCTAGTTTAACGTTCCTCGCTTCTTATCAGGGAATTCTAGATTTTTAAAAACTCAGCGCCGGCGGCAATGAGCCGCCAACCATTGGCCAGAAGTTGACATCATACCCTGGTACTTACACCCGCTGCAAAATAAAACACAGCCAAGGCAAATAGAATTAAAATTGGTAGCGCGTTTGGCTTCGTATGACATCATAGTTGGTGGGTGGAGTGAGTGGGGGAGGCAATTACTGTGAAGTGGAAGGGGGGTGCTGAGTGCTAAATGGGTGACAAGTGCGTGTGGACTTTACATAACTTATAGTACTCTGTGTTAAAAGCCTACACCTATGTCATATTCAAATTAATAAATCATAGTCTATGCTTTAATATTGTCATTTTTGTCGTCAAAAGTGATATTTCAAGTAAAATTAATTCAAAAATGAAACAAAAATCATGAAAAAATAACTTGAAGCACCTTTAACCTAATTAGTATCATTTAGAACCCAAGTTTTCTTTGAAATATTATAATAAAATACCAATAAGTATATCACCACAAAGAAAATATTGACAAATTATACATTTTCCCAATCGAACTCAACCCTTTTAAAAAGTTTCAAAAATTGTTAAACCATTTTAAGTCTAGTTTTACCAAATACAACTTTTATTGCTTACGCAAAATATAACAATATCTTTACATTTTACTTTTTCTATATTCGAAAATTGGCAACAATTTAATTGACAATCAAATTCCCATTTATTTCTGTTTTTTCGTTCCCACACAAAAACTGCAAACAAAACCAAACCTTTCTCTTACATAACCGCAAACAAAACAATATACCGAAAAAATATTTACTCAAACCCGCCCCGCGTTTCTACCTTTTCCCCTCACAAAACCAAACAACACAACAACTACAAATACTCCCCCGAAAAAAAAAAAACAAATGAAAAACCCCAATGAACAACGATCGGGAAAACGCAAAACAATTTAGAAAGAAACGGCGCCCTGGCATCAGATGTGGACACACATGAAACGCCTTTCGCACGCCTCCAAAGTAAACTCAACGAGCAGCCTGACCGCCCAGAAAACCGATGTGGGCGTGGGCGTGGCCCATCATCCAAACATGACACCCAATGCAACAACAGCAACAACAACAACAGCGAACATCTCATCGGCGGGGAAATGCATTCTATTCCCGGATAAGACGTCCTCCCTGAAAAGCTCTATGTATACGCAACAGGTGTACTTCAGGCCCGATATGGTACGATAATTTCGATAATTTCTAGATCCTAGATTCCTAGATAAAATATAGAGTTTACTGGCATGGTTTTGGATTGACTTGGTTTTGGTTCTTGGCTCTCTCAAAATGTAGAAACTAGCTGAACATTCGCTTTGAGTTTGTTACATTCGTTTTATGTCACTTTCCACCAATTTCAATCGACTATTTTAAGCCTTAATTTACTACGTTAATTTCGTATTTCGCTAATGGTTTCATGGATCTTTGACTTTGGTTTCGTTACACAATAGCTTAAGCGTTTCGTTTCTCTAGCAAAATATTCCACAATGATTTCTGCCCCCCGTGGCGAATTTTTAATGCATCTAAAACACTTTGAAGCTCAGCGTTGCATTAAAACCAGTGTCGAGCTGCAAAAAAAAATCATGAATGCAATAATCATAATCATAATAATAATCTTCATAAAGCAACGACATGGCAAAATAGCAGCAATTGACTTTGCCAAAGCAACCCCACAATGCAAAAAAAGGGACAAGTGCACCACAAATTCAGTAAGCATAACTTTATGGTGCATGCAAAGTTGGGAATCACAGGGGTTAGCCATGTTGATGTGGTAATATGCAAGGGAGCTACAGTGGAGATCAACTAAAAGATATAAAAGTGTTAAAATTGCAATAGAAATAAATCTACAAAAAAATTAGAAGAGCTAATAAACTTTAAACATTTTATAGAACTTTAAATGAAATTTATTTTTATATGCAAGCAAAATTTGACTTGCTCTTTGCCCAACTTTTTAGCTAGTAAAAATGACATATAGTTTTTACTATCCCCTACTCCATCTCCCCATTAAAAGCTCCAAACATTTTCAACCCCATTTTTCCACCCCGCTTTTTATATGCACCCCACTTGTTTACTATACTTATTTTACTATACAATATAAAAGTATTTTCATGCTGTGCAAACAACACCACAACAAATTTAGTTTGACATTTTGCATGGCATTTTGTGCAACTTTGGGAAATGGCTTACAGAAAATATTTACAAGCTCCTGAAGCGGACAGCTATTTAATGTCAGCTACGTGCGGCATGTCATAAGCGTTAAGATAGAGCAGCTCAGGGTCGAAAAAGTATCTTTAAGCTACGGCGCTCTAAACGAGAAATGATGCCAAGAAACCAAGTTTTTTTTTCTGGGGGAGGGGAAACTGAAAAGCGTGAAGGTGTAGGCAAAGGTCGCTGTATGCAAATTGCATTTTAGGATCCCAGTGGTTCTTGTCATTTGTGGTTCATTGTTCAGCAGCTGACATTTAGGCGGACAGAGAATAAACAAAGGAAAACCGGCTGAAGCCAAATCCAAGCCGGCCGCTATATTTTCGAAATAAAAAAAAAACCAGTACAACTGTGTGTTTTGTTTTTTTGTATTTTTTTTTTTCAATATCAAGTCACAGTTGGAGCTTCATTAACATAATTGATGCGCCATTGGACTCTGGCTCTGCGGCTGCGACTCTTCGAGCCATTATATTGTCTTCATGGCTTTGGGGCAGAGCGAATCGATGGACAGGTTTTCCGGCGCATGCGCACCACCAACGAACCGGTTTCCGATGGCCAGTTACAACCCAACAACGATCCACGATCCACGATCTGCTATACCATACCATACCAAACCATACCATGCCCAACTTGAAGCTCCCATCTCCAATTCTGTCTGCCCGCTCCACACTGTAATTTTCAATTTCATTTCGAGATCTGCGACGCTTGACGTTTTGGCTTTTTGGCCGCCAGCGAAACCGAGAAGAAAAACTAGCCGTCAGTTGTTGTTGTCTGAGCCAACTTAATGGAGAGTCAAAAGACAAGAACGGCGGCAAAACACACACATCACAACTCATCTCATTTGATCAGAAATGGTGGAAAATGCTCGATTTATCGAGTGGTTAGAGAGCTGCTGTTTATCTAACTGGAGTGAATAGGGGGAAATTATGATTGATAAGTGAATGTAGGCCCGGCGAATGGCAATCTATATCTCAGCAAGTGGGTCATTTAAATGGGCGTGATGTCAGCAGAACCAGAGGATTTTTTCACTGATTGAATAACAAAGGAAACCTTCGGAAAATAAATTCCAATAAAGAAACTGAAGGAAAATAAAGACCCAACTTATAAATAACTTATTTAAGAGGCAGACAGAAAGTCGGGCCGACTCATCACAGATCCTCGATTAGCAATCCAGACACGCAAGTGTTGTAATTATAATTTCGCCAACGGCCGGCTGTCTATTATTTATATTCGCCGCAAAATGGCAAAAAGGAAAAAAAAAGAAAACAAAAAACCGGCCAACTCCACATGGGCTATTAATTATGGCATCTGCTTTTTGATATGCGGGCAGCTGCTGTAAGTTAATGAAATTCTGCGGTTCGAGCATTTGACTTACATAAAATGGCTAAGCGATATCAATCAAATGCCCCTCTTTTTATGTTATTACATGATTCGATTTATAGAGCAGAAGGCGCAGAAAGCAGAGCAGAAAGCCTTCGAGGGAAACAGGTTTGGCCGCAGGAAGATAAATGGCAGACAAAGGAAGAGCAAGGGAGTTGGGGAAATAATATCCCCATAATGCAGTCGCGGCATCAGCACAATCTATATAGAGGCAATTTATACTCGAGTGCCGAAGGAGTGCAGTAAAAGGCGATCCAACCAAGGGCTGCGACATAAAATCAAATTCAATTCAAAGCCATTTTTCTCCGAAACCAGCTTGAAAATCATATTTGATATTCCGCACATATATGGCCGCTGGCGATTCGCTTTACAGATATGCCACATATAAATCGGCACTAAAATTCAGCTCCATAGAGAGAAAGTACAATTTTTTTTTTTAAAACACATTGTAGAAGGAAAAACACGGAAATAGGAAAATGGAAGCCCGAAATTCAACTCCACAATCTGACAGCTGCCTTTGGATATAGAGAACAATGGATTGGCCATGGCTATTGATATTGGTACAGCAGGGTATTTCCACTTGATTCCTTCTGCAGTTTTTCTCCTTTTTTTTCCTCTGTTACTCTGTGTTGACCCGAGTGCAATTGTCCCGGGGAATCGAAACTGAGGCCACAGAAGAGCTCAACTGGCTTTTGTTGCATTTCGGCCATGACAGCGGAATGTTTTCCTTTTTCCCTGCGACATCTGACGTTCGAATTGCGAATTGCGGAGAAGAGGAGTTGATTCAGCCACAACTCAACTGATATTAATTCTGTTTACCTTGATGACTTCAGTTTGGGCGGGGTGCAGGAAAAAAAACTGCATTGAAACCCTGGCCAGCCACATGTTTCTCGCTTGTAAATATTTAATTGAAATCGATATGGGGCGCCGGAGAACAAAGTAGTTTCCCGGGGAACAACAGCTGAATACGGGATGATGACGAAGCTCTAGTAAGCTCCGGACTCCCGACTATTTGGTCAAATTTAATTTGCAGTTGCACTTCAAAGCCACCGAAGATTGGGTGGCTCACCATTTCAGCCACCCCAACTCACCCACATTCGTTTATTGGTCTTCTCGCTAATTAGCGGCCTGACCTTAATCACTTAAGAGTTTACATAAAGCCACCAGCCCCCGACTTTCCTGCACTTTAACTCAAATACTCGTGTATATATAGAAACAATTTCCCCTTCTCGGTGACGCAATTAACACAGAATTTTGTGTCTTTGGAAATTGCATCGGTAGAAAAAAAAGTTGCACCAGCCCCGATAAGATAAAACTCTAACGATAAGTTTTCGTTCGCATGCCAGGCCAAAGTAAAAAAATAAATAAAACCAAAATCTTAAACAAATTTTGCGCTAAAGTAGATCTCGGATTTTTTATTTGGCCACGCGTTTGAACACTGAACAGCCACCAAAAAAATAGTTTAACCTTTTTTTGGGGAGCACAACCAAATATGGAAAAATTACTCGACAAATATTTCAAGTTTGGTTTTTGTATTTGTTTATTGATTGTTTTTTTTTTTTTTTTGTTTGTGGGCCGATTTTAGAGGCGACATTTAAAATGTTCGACTGTCAGCTGGAATTATTTTGGAGTTATTTATGGCGATGATTGGACCTTGTGAGCTGAAAAGATGACTTCAGCAGGTAGAATAGAGTAGGTTCCTCTGCTTTATTTTCTTGGGAGTTTTCAGTCTGGCACTTCCGCCTTTCAAAATTCCTCTATTAATTAAGAAAGCCGCCATCGGATCGAAGCCCCCATCCAATTACAAACGCCACTCTCTCATCGGGCGCGAACAATGCAACGCTTTGTTGCCACTCAGGGTCAATGTGTTGCATGTTACATGCTCTGTGTTTATCCATCCATCCTCGGCAGACATCTGAAATCGAAGCTGACAACTCCGACGAGATGAAAAGTCATAGCCACACGCACAAAAGGAAGCTTGCTTTCGGCATCGAATCACATTATTTTAATGCTAATTGCGTCTTTTGAAAGACAAGTGCAACGATCTCCATAAGGTTCCATCTCTAGCAGCCATTTGCCGGGTAATTATGACGCCCGACTCGCTAAAAGAGTTCGCTAACCCTCAATAAAAAACATATAAATAATTTCGCACTCAATTAAATGTCCCACACAGTCGAATGCATATATCTATACTCGTATATATACATATATATTATGGTTCCGCTTGGTGATCTGGCTTCCTTTTTTTATTATCTCGTTTCTCCTCGCACTTGATTTGTTCTCCAGCAAAATATTGACATTCTTCTACCCGATTTCTTCTATTTCTAGGTAAGTTCTCGCACTGATCACTTGACATTGGTCTTCCGGTGACGTCAGTAAGTGGAAAGCTTTTAATAGAATTCCCCCAGTTGGCCTTAAGTTCAGTCTGTGGTTCTCCGATTACCTTATCGCCGTGAGTAATGCCTTCTTGAAATTCCAATTGATCAGCAAGAGGAAGCACTTGAGCTGCTATCAATGGGAATCCATTACCTCTCCAGGTCCGAGATATATATGTATATATCGCGTGAAGGTTTTCTCTCCACCCCCAACTTGTTGATGCT